GCAATGTCATTCTCGCCAATGGAATCGCTTTCAGGTAACTTTTCGCAGTTGAAGATTGCCTCTACCTCTCGACATTGCCCCAGTACAGTTCCTCTTCGGAGTTTGACTGGTGATTTGAACTCATTGAGCACTCGAACTGGGATGCGTCCATCCTTTTGCGTCTTAGCCAAGGTTTTACCAATAAGTACGTCCGGTGTAGAATTTTGTGTTGCTTCAACAACCCACAATTTGTTTGTCCCACAATCTCCATCAATCTTTGCCCACACAACTGCTTCTGACTTCGGTGGAATCTGCTCGCTTTCCTCTAAGATCACTTGCTTGCTGCTGTACGGACCATCATACCCAAACCGAAGGGGCACTTCCATGTTGTTATACGTCATAATCCTGTTCTTCATGTTGATCTTCATACCTTGATCAAGCATGAAGTCTAATCCAATGATGACTTCATCCATAATCGGCGCGACTATGAACTTGTGTAACACCGTCACATTCCCTATTGCGACTTTGCATGTTACCTCCCCTACAACTTGGGTGTCCTCACCAGTTGCTGTCCTCAACCTTGCTCCAGGTAATGGCCTTACCTCTTTAGTGACCAAATCAGATCGAATGATGGAATGTGATGCGCCCGTATCCACAGTTAGTACTCGCTCATGTCCGTCCACATATCCACCAACAGTAACGTTGCTCGCTTTTCTGCCAATTCTCGATACGGAGATTATGGGGCATTCAATTGCGGGAGCCAGCGTGCGCCCCTTGCTGCTGGCTCGTTTTAGTTTAACGACTGGTCGGAGTTGGGCTCGTCATCCTCAGTCCTGCGTTTACGTACTGCTGAACTGTTTGACCTGTTGGAACCCGTCTTACATTCGCGTGCGAAGTGGCCTGGTTTTCCGCAACTAAAACATTTTCTAGCACCATCCTTCCTCTCGGTTGAACCAGGAGTATTCTTCCCTGCCATCGACTTGAGTGTTTTCAGGATCTCGTTCATCATGTCAGGTGTTTCCACTTCTACTCGATGGGCTTTGTAGGCTGGTCTACTTAGGAGCGCTGCCGTTTCACGTGTCTGAGCATACGAAACCGTTTCAGCAAATGTTGGCTTTGGATTTGCATACATCTCGCGCTTGGTATACACGTCCCGCATTCCGTTGATGAACCTCTGGATTTTTACTCTTTCGAGGTGCTCACCAGATGCATCTCCAATTGCCAAATGAGCCAACCTTTCAACCTCGGAGGCGAATTCCTGTAGAGTCTCGTTGGATTTCTGGCAGCGATTCTCCAGCTCCATCTGGTAAATCTGTCTCCTGTGCTCGCTACCATAACGTCTTTCCACTGCACCCATTAACGTATCGTAACTGTTCCCTTCACAATCAGGAATAGTCTGCAAGTTTTCCGCTGCAGGTCCTTTTAATGCAACGAACAGTGCAGCGGATTTATCCTCCATGCTCCAGTGATTTGCTGTAGCTGTCTTCTCAAACTGGAGCTTAAAGACCTGGAAAGGAATCGTGCCGTCAAAGGATGGAGTCTTTACCTTGGGCGCGCTGGTCGAAGAAGGTGGGCGATTCAACTGCATATTTCGGAGGCGACCTTCCAACTCTTCTACCTTAGCCTCGACTTTATCCTGTCTATCCTTGATTTGTTCGTTATCTCTAGCCAAATTCTCCTGCAGTTGTGTAATCTTTGCATCCTGGACTTCCAGCAACTGTGATACGTGTGTCTTCTGTGCCTGTAGCTGCGACGAAATATCTGACAACTGTGTTTGCATCTGTGAGGAAACGTCTGACGACAACTGCGACCTCTGTTCCTGCATCATCTGTGACATGGCAGCCAATAACGTGTTCATGTCCATACCTGTTGATGAACAAGGAGCATTTTGCTGTTCTTCAAGCTTCCCGGATGTCTGCTGCACATCCTTCGACGAACAAGCAGCCTCATCCTTCTGTTCGTCCTTTGCGGATGCATCGTCGGATTTACCCTGGAAGTCGTATTTGTCCACGTCGATGCCTTCAGCTTCCATAGCCTCCCGCAAACGGGATAATAATTCCACTTTTCTTCCTGAGGTAGCCAAATTACGCTTTTCCAACTCCTGTTTCAGCTCCTCAATTTTTAAGTCCTGAATTTTCGCCATTTTCAGTAGTTTATCCTTCGGGATTTATTTAACAATCCCACTTCTGACACCAATTGTTACGATTATCCTCGAAACCTTGAGGGATTACCCAAATATACTCGGGCTCGTATCGCTGGATTGTTAAATAAATGCTAACGATGACCGAATTGTAGTACAATTAACTTTATTGTACAACAAACAATTTACAATACTTGCTAATACAGTAAAAACACTTTACAATACTTGTTGAAGCAATAACAACGCTTTACTACTTGTTAACACAATTAAACTTATAGCTTGCTTATTCGCAACTCAATTCTCCGCTCACTTCACTTGTAGCTTGCTGACTTGT